AAAAAAAAAAAAGAATTTGCCATCTGGGCCAAATCTATCACTCTAGGACTGGGCTGAGGAAGGAACAGAACTTCTGAACTGGGTCAGCCAAACTATTTTTGTGTGTATGCCCATACTAGGGCATGAACTTGAGGTCTGAGGTCTGAGGTCCGGGCCCTGAGCTTTCTGCTTTCCAATAAATTTATTTCTCATTGTCCTTCCTTGGTGTTGAAGATACACTTCTTTCTCCTTCTCTCCCCCCCCCCCCTCCCCCCCGCCCCCCTCTTTCTCTCTGTGTCTCTGTCTCTCTATCGTCACTTTCTCATGTGTGCTGGTCCTAGGGCTTGAATTCAGGACTCAGGGTCTGGGCTCTGTCCCTGAGCTAGTTTTGCTCGAGGCTAGCACTCTACCATTTGAGGCACAGCCCAATTTCTGGCCTTTTTTTTTTTTTAGTTTATTGGAAATAAGAATCTCACCAAAGCCAGGCACTGATGGTTCACATCTGTAATCCTAGCTACTCAGGATCAAAGTTCAAAGCCAGCCCAGGCAGGAAAGTCCCTGAGACTCTTTTTTTTTTTTTGGGTCCGGTCGTGGGGCCTGAACTCTGGGCTTGGGCGCTGTCCCTCAGCTCTTCAGCTCAAGGCTAGCGCTCTACCACTTGAGCTACAGTGCCACTTCCGGCTTTTTTCTTTTTGCTTATGTGGTGCTGAGGAATCAAACCCAGGGCCTCAGGCATGCAAGGCATGCAAGGCAAGCGCTCTACCACTGAGCCACCTTCCTAGCCCCTTCCTGAGACTCTTTTTTTTTTGGGTCCGGTCGTGGGGCCGGAACTCTGGGCCTGGGCGCTGTCCCTCAGCTCTTCAGCCCAAGGGTAGTGCTCTACCACTTGAGCCATAGGGCCACTTCCGGCTTTTTTTCTTTTTGCTTATGTGGTGCTGAGGAATTGAACCCAGGGCCTCAGGCATGCAAGGCAAGCGCTCTACCACTGAGCCACCTTCCCAGCCCAGTTCCTGAGACTCTTTATCTCCAATAAACCACCAGAAAAGCAGAAGTGGCACTCACCTTGAGCTGAAGAGCCCACAATTGACCAAAAAAAAAAAGAAAAGAAAATGCTGGATGCCAGTGGCTCACACCTGTAATTCTAGTTGTTGAGATCTGCAAATGGAGATTCAAAGCCAGCCTGGGAAGATAGATCTGAGAGACTCTGATTTCCATTTAAATAGCAAAAAGTCAGAAATAGAGGTCCAGTTCAAATAGTAGAGTGCCAGTCATGAGTGAAAAAGGCTGAGACAGAGGCCCAAATTTCAAGCAAAAAAAAAAAAGAATCAGTGTTATTTTAGTATATAACATTGAATCAGTAATATATATATGTGTGTATGTGTATATAAACATTCATACATATTTACATAGGTGCATCTACATACATGTACATATTTACCCTTATGTACATATCAATATATGTACATATGTAAATATATACATATATGCATACATTAATATATACATATATATGTATGTGGGTTTGGGTTTTTTTGGGAAGTACTGGGGTTTGAACTTAGGGGTTTGTGCTTGCTAGGCAGATGCTCAACCACTTAAACCACAGTCTCAACCCTTTTTGTTCTTATTTTTCCAATAGAGTATATATGCTGGGGTCAAACATTAATTTTTCTTTCTTCTTTTTTTTGCCAGTCATGGGGCTCAGTGCTAGAGTGTTTGTCTCATGTACATGAGGCCCTGGGTTTGATTTCTCAGTACCACATAAACAGAAAAAGCCAGAAGTGGCACTGTGGCTTGAGCGGTAGAGCACTCACCTTGGGCTGAAGAGCTCAGGGACAGCTCCAAGGCCCAGAGTTCAAGCCCCATGACCAACAGAAAAAAAAAAAAGAAAAAAAAAGAGTCTCACGGGGACTTTCCTGCCCTGGCTGACTTCGAACTGAGGTCTTCAGATCTCAGCCTTCTGTATAGCTAGGATTATAGGTGTGAACCACTGGCACCTGGCTAGTAGAGCACTTTCTGAGCATGTACAAAACCTGAAAACAATCCTGCTCATCCTTCTCCCAGAGTCTATGTGTACATGTTTTAATAGTAATAATAATATATAATATGTAATATAATAATACTGTAGAAGAGTAAACTGGAGGAAGTAAGGTACCTGCTCTATAGGGAACAAATGTTAAGTAATACTTCCTGGAAAAACAGGAATTCAGAAAGAGGTGAACACAGACATAGCCATGCAAGTAGTTCAGTTAAACTTCACAACTGAGGAACCTATCCCTGTTCCTGGATGTCTGTGGATACCAGGCTACAAGAAATGAGTAAGACATTTCCTTAAAGGAAACTCCTTTTTCCTCCATAAATACAAGCTTACCTTGTTGCAATATTTGGTGCCAAGCAGTGTACTAGTCATACACCATCACACTTAAACCTCACAATCATTCCATGAAGTAGTACTCATCACTCATCTTTTATAGATTAGAAACAGGATTAAAGAGATTAAGTAATTTACTGATGCTCAAATAGCCAGTAAGTGGTGGCACCAAGTTCAATCCCTGCTCATCCATCTCCCAGAGACTATACTTAAATATTTTATGAAGTAGGAGAAGAAACGATGGATTTTGCTAGGTGCATGTCTTGGAAAGGCTACACTGAGATAATTCAGAACATAACAAACAAGCAAGTAATTTTCAGTGCCTATTAAGTCCCAGGTCCTGCTTATCTCACCAACTCCAGTAATAACTCTGTGAGAGTGTAGTATTGCCTCCTTTTTACAAACCAGAAAACAGGCTCAAAGACCTGGAATTAGTCAGGTTATATTGCATGTGTCACACTAAATCTTATCTGATGTGGTTTATGGAGCAACATCAGGATCAACTCCTTTCTTCTGTCCACAGAGGATGTATCTTTCTTTAGCACTCTTCAGTTCCTCCCTCCTTCCTTCCTTCCTTCCTTTCTTTTTCTCTTTCTTTTTTTCTTTGTTCTAGAGAGTGAATTCAGAGCCTTGTATTTGCTAGACAAGCACTCACCTACGCGAGCCACGCTTCCAGTCCTTTTGTTTTTACTTTAGGTTTTCAAATAGTTTCTCCTACTTACTTTGCCCTTGGCTGCCCTACACAGGCAATCTTTCTGTCTCTGTCTTCAAGTAGCTGAGATTACAGGCATGTGCCCCACCCCCACTCCATGCCTAGCCCATTGCCTAGGTGCGGAACTATTATGCCAACCTCTCGGTCCTGAGAGGAAGGAAGAGAAGTTACTGCAATTAGCAACTGATGGTGAAACAGGGAATCCAGAAAGGTGCGTGCTGACCACTCCTTCCCTCAGTCATGCTATCTCTATGCCAAGTCTTGCCCTTTCCACACTGGGCTGTATAATAACACCCCTACCACCAGGCTTCTCCTCCGAGAAGACTTTCTGGAGAACTTCCCACCCACCAAGGGTCCAGGTTCCTCTTCCAGGGAGCTCTCCAAGCACGTTACTATTTCTGTCTTCTCTGGTAAATATCTGCGTCTGTATCTGCCTCTGTGCTCCATGGGCCTCTTTAGGGCAATATCTGTGTGGCCCTATTTATGTCTTAAATATTTGTATGGCCTCAGAATTTTGCTTAGCAAGCCTTTCTTTATTAGTATTGTCATTTGTATCGTGTGTGTGCGTGCGCGCATGCGCACGTGCATGAAGATGCGGACACACACTTGTGCACATGCGTGCATGCTTATGCGTTCATGCACTAGTGCTGGGGATTGAACTCAGGGCCTGGGCACTGAACTTTAGTTTTTTGGCTCAAAGCTGACACTCTACCACTTGAACCACAGCTCCATTTCTGGTGTTTTTGTTTTTTTTTTTTCTTTTATTGCTCAACTGGAGATAAGAGGTTCACACAGTTTTCTACCTGGGCTAGCTTTGAACTGAGATCCTCAGATCTCAGCCTCTTGAGGTTTTTGAGTGGTTAATTGGAGTTAAGAGTCTCCTGGGGACTTTTCTTCCTAGGCTGAATTCAAACGGTGATCCTCAGATCTCAGCCTCCTGATTAGCTAGAATTACAGGAGTGAGCTACTGGTTCTTGGCTAAGTGTTACTGTCCTTATTTTTTTTCCTCCCCCCCTCCCTCCCCCTCCCTCCCTTCCCCCCTCTCTTTCTCTCTCTGCCACTCTGAGCTCTTTTGCTCAAGGCTAATACTTTACCATTTAAGCCACAGCTCCGTTTCTGGGTTTTTAGGGGTTAATTGGAGATAAGAATCTCATGGAAGTCAGGCACTGGTGTCTCACACCTGTAATCCTAGCTACTCAGGAGACTGAGATCTGAGGATCACACTTCGAAGCCAGCCTGGGCAGGAAAGTCCGTGAGACTCTTATCTCCAATTAACCACCAGAAAACCGGAAGTGGTGCTGTGTTCGCCTTGAGCTGAAGAGCTGAGGGACAGCACCCAAGTCCCATCACACACACACACACACACACACACACACACACACATATACACACACACACATCTCATGGACTTTCCTCCCTGGGGAGTCCTCAGATCTCAGCCACACCTGGCAGTAACACTTTTATAGAGTCCCATCACACACACACACACACACACACACACACACACACACACACACACACACACACACACACACACACACACACACCTCTCATGGATTTTCCTCCCTGGGGAGTCCTCAGATCTCAGCCGCACCTGGCAGTAACACTTTTATAGTTAGTGCTGGGAATGAAGCTCAGGGCTTCACATTTACTAGCAAGCTGTCCACTAAAGAGTCCCCAGCCCTTAGTATCACTTAAAATTTTTTTGCTACATGTGCTTGCTGTGGCCTACTTTCTCTGAGATTTAGGTGCTTTTACCCAGTTTTCCACTCAAATCCTTATTCTATGTTGTGTTCTACAAAAACCTTCCAGAATAGAATATCGAGAACCAGAGAGAAGCCAGTAAAACCCATTATAAATATGGCTGCAATTGCTTCACTTCCTGGGTCATGTGACTCTTCCCTCAGTTATCATATGACACACTGGGTCATCCACCTCAGTGTGCCGGAATAAAATCTGCAGGGCAAGCTCAGTTCCTCCAGCAGTAGTAGATTATATAAAATTCACACAGATACCTGCATTCTTGGTTTTATTTAGTGAGTCCTTTATCAGTTTGAACCTCGGAAACTCCTGGAAGTCTTCTTTCTCAGAAACCCCGAAGCAATGACATTTTCAAGCCCTCCGGGAAAGGTAAGTGGCAGGTTTCTGGTTACTTTGCTTTGGAATTCATTGAATAGATAATCTTTTCGACACAGCCGTCATGGCTCTTTCAGCAAAGCACTGACGAGAGGTGGGAAGGATCAACTTGAAATGGGCAGAAAAGGATGAGGAGAATCTTCCTGGTGTGGGGAGGAGGCTCTCACCAGCAAAGGGAGGGCTGCACCCTTATAAGGAACACTATAGGGATGGGTATGTGGCTTAATGGTAGAGTGTTTGCCTCACATGCATGAAGCCCTGGGTTGGATTCCTCCATACCACATCGACAGAAAAAGCAGGAAGTAGTGCTGTGGCTCAAGTTGTAGTGTACTAGCCTTGAGCAAAAGAAGCTCAAGGACAGTGCCTAAGCTCTGAGTTCAAGCCCCAGGACTGGAAAAAAAAAAAAAAAAAGATAAACTAGACTGTGGGCACCCATAGACAGCCAAATGCTGACCAGGAAAGTATTGAAGTAAAAAGAGGGGGCTTGCCTTCTACTCATTTCTCATCTTGTTCTTAGGAGTGTCCCAAACACTGGAGCTGGGGAGGCATCATGGCTTCCAGTCTCATGGGATTGCTTCTACTTCAGGCAGTGTCATGGACATCAGGTGAGACCAGCAGGAGGAAGGTGGCACTGAGCATCCTTCTGTCTTCCAGTGTACTGGTGGTACAGTTTCAGTAGTGGCTCAGCCAACATTTATGAGTGATTGAGAGCAACCTGGGGTAGGAGAAACAACTTTTTGAAATCCATGTTTATTCTAATCAGCACATCCATTTCCTTCATCCACCCCCTTCGGCTCTTGCTCCTGCTTATGCTCCTCCCTTGCAGGTGCCCGTCCCTGCATACCTAAAAGCTTTGGCTACAGTTCAGTGGTCTGTGTCTGCAATGCCACATACTGCGACTCTCTTGACCCCTTAACCCTCCCTGCCCCTGGTAACTTCAGCCGATATGAGAGTACACGAGGTGGACGTCGGATGGAGATGAGTATGGGAACCATCCAGGCCAATCGCACGGGCACAGGTAATTACTATGCTCCTTACCTCAGAGCCAGGTTGGGTCCCTGTCATAAGTCCAAGTCATGCCAGTGGCCACCATGGAATTTTTCCTCTGTGTGCTAACAGGCTTTCTTTTCTCACGGTTTCCTCAGGACTTCTACTGACCCTGCAGCCAGAAGAGAAGTTCCAGAAAATGAAAGGATTTGGAGGGGCTATGACAGATGCTACTGCTCTCAACATCCTTGCTTTGTCACCCTCTGCCCAGAATTTGCTCCTGAAATCATACTTCTCTACAGAAGGTGAGGAGAGAGACATAATACCATTATCACCAGAGCCTCACACTTGCTAGGCAGGTTCTCTGCTATTTGAACCCACACATTCCTTTAGTTATTCTGAGCCAGCCCTTTATTGCTTTATTTATTTTTCAGGTAGGGTCTTGCATTTTTTACCTAGTGCTGGTGTTGGATTGCAATCTTTCCACCTATGCCTCCTGCTTAGCTGGGATGACAGGCATGTACCACCATTCCTGGCCGGATGGTTAAGATTGGAATCTTGCCAGGCGCTGGTGGCTCATGCCTATAATCCTAGCTATTCAGGAGGCTGAGATCTGAGGACCACTGTTCAAGCCAGCCCGAGCAGGAAAGTCCCTGAGACTCTTATCTCCAATAAACCACTAGAAAACCGGAAGTGGTGCTGTGGCTCAAGTGGTAGAGCCTTGAGCTGAAGAGCTCAGGGACAGCGCCCAGGCCCAGAGTTCAAACCCCACGACCGACAAAAAAAAAAAAAAAAGATTGGAATCTTGCTGATTTTTTGCCTTTAACCATGATCTTCCCTATCTGTCTCCTGAGTAGCTGAGATAACAGATATAATCTTACCTAGCGATGGTTCTTCTGTTCTTCTTTTCCTGCCTTTGCAGCTGCCTCCTTTTGGTGGGATTAGGCATATGAAATCAGGCCTGAATATTTGGTTCCTCTCTAAAGGCCAGTAAAATAAAATTGCCCTGTCTTAGGCTCAGAGGGCTTGTGCTTCATCTGGGTCCTGGCCTCTTGCCCCACCTAGAGCCCCAGGTTTCCTCTGGCTCTAAGATTCTATTTCAGAACGGCAAGTGATAGAAGTTCCAGCAAGGAGCAGTGACTCAAACCTGTAATTCGAGCTACTTGGGAGACAAAGATTGGGGAATCATGGTTCAAGGCCAGCTTGGCAAAAAGAAGTTTATGAAACTCCATGTCAACCAGAGAGAGAGAGGGAGAGAGAGAGAACCCCCAAGTTCCATATTCTCCTATTGGACTCCCATACCTTGGGCATGCTTTTCTGTAGGAATTGAATATAACATCATCCGGGTACCTATGGCTAGCACTGACTTCTCTATCAGTACTTACACCTATGATGACTCCCCTGATGACTTCCAGCTGCACAACTTTAGCCTTTCAGAAGAAGACACCAAGCTCAAGGTGGGCATTCTGGCTGCCTCAGGCCCTGATGGCATTGTAATCTGGGGGTCCAGTTAGGGCAATGTATAAAGATGATAAACTTTCTCTGCTTCCTGTTCTGTCCTGGGATTGGGAGGGTAGGAGATGATGGCTAGACCTGATGTGCAGGTTAGGCTAGTCCATCTGTGTTCCAAGTCTGGGTATCTCTCTCCTTGCTATGTGTGCCTCTAGATACCCCTGATTCACAGAGCCTTGAAAATGACCCAGCGCCCCATTTCCCTCTTCGCCAGTCCCTGGACATCGCCTACTTGGCTCAAGACTAATGGGGCAGTGAATGGAAAGGGGACACTCAAGGGTCAGCCAGGGGATATCTACCACCAGACCTGGGCCAACTACTTTGTCAGGTAAGAAATCAGAATGTCAAGGGTGTCTGGACCAGCTTTTCCTTTGGACACCATAGCCTATGTCCCTGGACTTGGGTCCATTTTATTTATTTATTTTTTTATTTATTTATTTTTTTTTGGGTCCGGTAGTGGGGCCTGAACTCTGGGCCTGGGCGCTGTCCCTCAGCTCTTCAGCTCAAGGCTAGCACTCTACCACTTGAGCCACAGCGCCACTTCCGGCTTTTTTCTTTTTGCTTATGTGGTGCTGAGGAATCGAACCCAGGGCCTCAGGCATGCAAGGCAAGCGCTCTACCACTGAGCCACCTTCCCAGCCCCCTTGGGTCCATTTTAGACCTGCCTTTCCTAGTTCATCTTTTTACCTTCTCAACCTTTGAGACTTAGGGCTATCAGTTTCCCTGCTCCATCAGGATTCCTATTCCTTGGGGTCCTGGTCTGTCCTTTTAGCCATGATCACTCATGTTCTTTCCTCTGCCAGGTTCCTAGATGCCTATGCTGCATACAAGTTAAAATTCTGGGCAGTGACGGCTGAGAATGAACCTACTGCAGGGCTGATTACTGGGTACCCTTTCCAGTGTCTGGGCTTTACTGCTGAACACCAGAGAGACTTCATTGCCCATGACCTGGGTCCAGCCCTTGCCAATAGTACTCACCGCGATGTCCTGTTGCTCATGTTGGATGACCAACGCTTGCTGCTCCCCAGATGGGCAGAAGTGGTAAGGGTCATGACCTCCATGAGGACCCCAGTGTCCCAAAAGTATAGCATACAAATGATTGGCTCCAAATTTAAGAGTACCTTTCCTGTTCAACTTTTTTTTTCTTTCTTTCTTTTCTTTTTTTGGTCTGTCGTGAGGCTTGAAATCTGGGCCTGGGCACTGTCCCTCAGCTCTTTAGCTCAAGGCAAGCACTCTACCACTTCAACTACAGTACCACTCCCTTTTTTTTTTTTTTTCCTGAGTGGTTTGTTGGAGATGAGTCTCATAGACTTTTCCTGCCCAAGCTGGCTTTGAACCATGATCCTCAGATCTCAGCCTCCTGAGTAGCTAGGATTACAGGCATGAGCCACCAGCACCTGGCTGTTCAACTCTTTTTTTGTTTTGTTGTCAGTTATGGGACTTGAACTCTGGGCCTTGGAGCTCTCCCTCAGCTCTTTAGCTCAAGGCAAGCGCTCTACCACTTGAGCTACAGCGCCACTTCCGGTTTTCTAGTGGTTTATTGGAAGAGTCTCATGGACTTTCCTGCCCAGCCTGGCTTTGAACCTTGATCCTCAGATCTCAGCCTTCTCAGTATCTAGGATTACATGCATGAGCCACCGGCACCCAGCTTCAACTCTTCTTTTTGTTACCAGTACTAGGGCTTGAACTCTGGGCCTGGGTGCTGTCCCTGAGCTCTTTTGCTCAAGGTTAGCGCTCTACTACTTGAGCCACAGCTCCACTTCCGACTTTTTTGGTGCTTAATTGGAGATAAGAGTCTCAGCCTTTCCTACCCAGGCTGGCTTCAAACCATGATCCTGAGATCTCAACCTCCTGAGTAGTAAGAATTACAGGCATGAACCACGAATGCCTGGCTTTTGGCTTCTGTTCAACTTTTTTTTTTTTTTTTGCCAGTCCTGGAGCTTGAACTCAGGGCCTAGGCACTGTCCTTGAGCCTCTCTGTGCTCAAGGCTAGCACTCTACCACTTGAACCACAGCACCACTTCTGGCTTTTTGTTTATGTGGTGCTGAGGAATAGAACCCAGGGCTTCATGCATGCAAGGCGAGCACTCTACTTCTAAGCCACATTCCCAGCCCTGTTCTTGATTACTAGGACACCCTGGGCTAGGGCTAGGTGCCCAAGCTCTGAAGACCACTGGGTGGTCACTGTAACCCCTTCTAGTTGTATCCATCTTAGTGCCTACTTCGTGAGAATCCTAGCTCCTTTTCCAGAATCCTCTGTGCAGGTTTCTGGGCCAGTGGTTCCTGTTTCTCAGTGGTCCTTTCCTTTCCCTGGGCAGGTACTAAAAGACCCAGAGGCAGCTAAGTACGTTCATGGTATTGCTGTACACTGGTACCTGGACTTTCTGGCTCCAGCAAGATCCACCCTGGGGGAAACACATCGTCTTTTCCCCAATACCATGCTCTTCGCCTCTGAGGCCTGTGTGGGCTCCAAATTCTGGGAGCAGAGTGTGCGTCTGGGTTCCTGGGATCGTGGGATGCAGTACAGCCACAGCATCATCACGGTGAGCCAACTATCTTCCTCCCATAAAGCAGACCATAATAGATACCTTCCTACAATCTCCAAAGGTTGACAGGTCTTTCTCCTCAACTGCTAGTTTACCCTTTGGGGCAATTCTAGGATGTCATGATCATGCCTTACCTTTCCTTCACAGAACTGTAGCCCATAGCCTCTTACTACATGTTTGGAGCCAAGCTAGACAACTGCATCTGCCACCAATTTCTTGGCCCCCCTCGTGATGCCCCACCTTCAGTCTCCTTCACAAGGCTGAGGCATGTGCCTTCTCTGAGGATCTCTTGTGTTGAGTATTTCTTTGCCCTGGTCTCTACTGCAGAACCTTCTCTACCACGTGTCTGGCTGGACAGACTGGAACCTTGCCCTGAACCCTGAAGGGGGACCCAACTGGGTCCGCAACTTTGTCGACAGTCCCGTCATTGTGGACATTGCCAAGGATACGTTTTACAAACAGCCCATGTTCTACCACCTTGGCCATTTCAGGTGAGTTGAGTAGGGTGCCACCATGCCACACCAAGCCTATCATCTGCTGCATCAGGCTTACATCACCCTAGACGAGCGAGCAGGAAGGTGCATAGGTGGGAATCTCAGGAGAGGCACACCCCTTCTCTCTTGCACCATGTAGGCAGGAAGTGATTAGGTGGTAACTAGAAACAGATAACTCTGGTTATTAGAAGCTGGCACTGGGATGTGGGAGGGTAGGAGCAGGGCCCAACAACACATCTTGAGAACTTAAGAGTTAGAACAGAGCTGGAATTATAGACTTGTACCACCACACCCAGCCTTGCTTTGTTTTACGAGCCTTGTTCTGTGTTGTTCAGGCTGGACTTGCAACTTGCTGTTCTCTTCCTTCAGCTTCCAGAACTATACTGATACTATAAACATATTAGCATGCCAGCCTTAGGGCAGAGCTTTGGCAGGACTTATGAGGCGGTGAGAGGTTAAGAAGAATAAACTCTTAGATGAGGATTTTTTTTTTCTTGCCAGTACTGGGGCTTGCGCTAGGGACTAGCTATTGCTAGTACTGTCCCTTAGCTTTTTTGCTCAAGTCTAGCTCTCTTATCACCTGAGTCACAACTCCATTTCTGGGGATCTGCTTGTTAATGGGAGATGAGAGTTTCATGGACTGGGGCTGGTTTTGAATTGCCACTGCCAGATCTCAGCCTACTGAGCAGCTAAGATTGTAGGTATGAGCCCACTGGGTGCCCAGCTTTAGATAAGGGTTTCATAGGTGGTACCCTAAGGTGCTGGACTGAGGTCTCAGATGATGCCTGTTCCCACATGCAGCAAGTTCATTCCTGAAGACTCCCAGAGAGTGGGGCTTGTGGCCAGTGAGAAGAATGACTTGGACACAGTGGCACTGATACGACCTGATGGTTCTGCAGTTGTGGTGGTGCTAAATCGGTAAGGACAAGGGCAGGGGAAGGTCTGGGCTGAGATGAAGTGTTGGGCCTCAGCAGGCTCACTCTCAGCTACTCTTTCCCTCCTCAGCTCTTCTAAGGATGTACCTCTTACCATCAGTGATCCTGCTATAGGATTCCTGGAGACCGTCTCACCTGGGTATTCCATTCATACCTACCTATGGCGTCGCTAGTGATGGAGCAGACACTCAAGCAGATACCTGGGTTCAGCATGGACATTAAAAGGACAGTCAGCTCATGTCTGTGACTGAGTAGGGCACAGTAGGGCCAGTGTGAGCTTACAGTGACACAGGCTCAAGGGTAGTGGTTTGGGTGATTCACTCTACTCTCTAGTAGGTACCAGGGGCTGGAGGCCTCTAAAGAAAAATCAGAAAGCCCTAATGTGTCCCCACCCCTCATGCTTGTAGAAGTGTGTGCAATGTACTAGTTGCCCGTGGAAACTGGGCCTAGGCCCAGGGTGAGCTCACTGTACAAATAAAGATGGTGGGGGAGGGAGGTGAGCAGAGGAGACTGGGAAGACTGAACCCAAAACTGGGGATTGTTTGTCTTTCCTGGAGATGGAGACTGGGCCCATGCAGGAGCAAAGCTAAAGCAATTTCAGAAGCCTAGTGCCAGTGGGTAGGCTCAAGCACCCAGGGCCCAAGCTAAAGCACAAGCTGAGACACTGGCAGCACATTTAAGGAGAGAAGGTTTGATCCCAGTCAGTGCGAGCGGCTTTATTCTGGGGGTGGGGAGTACCCATTTCTGGCTGTCTCAACAATGGGGAGCCAGAGAGACCTATGGAATGCACAATTGAAAAACCAGTCCTAAGAGCATGAGGACAAATCATTCTTCATCCTCCTCAACCATGTCCAGGGCCCGGGTGCCTGGGGTATGAGGAGGGGCTGCCCTCTGGATAGAGATGATTCCACTGAGCAAGGCATAGCCCACCATGGCTACCAGCCCTGCTAACACAGACAGGATCTGGTTCCGGCGCCGATTTGGCTCCTCTTCAGTATCTGGGGCTGCTGGTGTCTGACGTGGAGGTGGCACTGCAGCTGAGGAACAAGAAAAGGAAAGTGGGCAGGGAGCTAGTTCCTGGATCCCAGGCATTCCTCCCAAGACTGCCCCCTCCATCTGCTCCTTACCTCCATCCCAGGGAAAGTAGAGGCTAAGAATGTGGGAACAGTAGACACAGAGGTTTTGCAACCCTCGAAGGTGTATCTGCAGTTTCCCACTGGGCATCTTTACCTGCAGTAGCAGTGCCAGGTGGCTAAAGACAAAGGCATCCAAGGATGCAGGGCTGGAGAGAAAAAGGTAGGATAGAGGACAGGTGGGCAGAGGGGTCAAGATGGAGCTGGAAGAAATACCAGTCTAGGGATGTGGGGAGGCTCTGGGCAGCATGGGGCCACCAGTGGAGGGACAGGACACACAGTTCCTGGTCTGGTATGAGAAGGGTTCTCTAGGTGGCGCCAGCCAGGCCCTGAATGGGGCTCTATCCTAGAGCTGCATAAAGGGCACATTGAGTGCCCCACACCCTGCAGGCCGCTCCTGTACCTGGCGATCCTCCCACCCCATCCTCCTGTACCACCAAGGAGGCTCTGGCCCCACACACAGCCCCATTGTCATTACAGCCAGTGTCTGTCCTAAGGACTTCTTGTCTAGAGCTTGAGCCTACCTTTCAGCCCCAGCCTGTGCCCCAGCAGCTACTTGTGAACCCGTAGTCTTCCAACCACCCTTTAACACCCCAGGAGTCAGACTCACGCATCTCCAAAGAAGAACTTCTGAGAGCCCAGGCGCTGAGAGAGAAGGGTTAGGCATTCCCGAGCCTCCTGGTACAGCTATAAGGGAGGAACAGGTAGGCATGTGGCTGTGGGAAGAGTGTTACCTCCCCACCTGGGCACTCCATTTCTGGCCATCAACCTTGGGGTTCATCTCATATAGCAGCCCCTGTCCCAAAGCTACCTCCTTCTCCACTTCTTCCTCATTCTCAGGACTGGGCTTCCCATTCGTCAGCTGCAGCCGCTCCATATATTGCCGCTGCATGCGGCCAGGTAGGAAGAAGTTGAGAGGAAAGGGCATAGCCTCTGCATACCACTTCCGGGTCACTTCTACATAGTTCTTGGTGTCTATCCAAAAAGTATGTATCTGGATTGGGTAGGTAGGAAGGAAGGAAGGGGATGTCTGAACTAGTGTACCTGCCTGACACAGAATAGGCTTCTGACCCCCACAGGGCTCTGTGGGGGTATATCAGCCTGACCCTTCCCTGCAGGCTGTGAACACTGGGAGGTCTATACATACTTACCAACACCGGGAGCAGTTTTTCCTCTAGTAGAGACATGAAAGCCAAGGTGTCAGCTCCTTGCCGAGCTGATAGATCATAATCAGCATTATACTTCTGTGAAAGAAATATTCATGAAACTGATGTTGGGAGGACTGAAGGGGCACTTCCCTGGTAGGGAAGGTAACCTCATTAGCCTCTCTGTGTAGCAGAGGCAGAACAAAGAGCTTTGCCCGCTGAGGCCCCCTTACCTTGGCCCAGCCAGCACAGCCTGTTGCTGTTGGCTGACAGCCTGGGCCTTGGAGTCTGCTGGCCGTCAAGGTCCTATGCCCATTGAGGGGGGGGGGGGGAGGAAGGAAAGCCTGGCCACAAACTAGGAGCAGCTCCCAGAGTTTCCACGGAAAGCTGGCAGCAAGCCTGCTGACAGCAACTTTCTAACAGTAACGTCCCAATCTAGACACCACAAAGCTAACGGCAGAGCTCAGCTGCAGGTTGAGTCTCAGCCCATGCCTAAGGAACTAAGGGACACGATCCTCATATTCCTTGGACCCAGTGAACTCACCCTTTCCATCTCCCCGGCTTGTTCCCTCATGGCCCAGCTCTTGACTATTTCTTCTGTTTCATTCCATAGCCTAAGTGCCACCACTAAACCTAAGTTCCACCCATATCAGTTTCATCCTGCTCTATCTTTCCCAGCTTCAGTCTGTTCCTCAGCACATATCCTTCCACACCCTGAACAGCCTTTATCGCTGTGTAATCTCTTGAACACACACACACACACACACCCCTATATCCTCCCCCCTTTGGTGGTACTTGGGGTTGAACTTCATGCTTGATATGCAAGTTCTCTACCACTTAAGTCATGCCTCTAGCTTAAGTACAATTCTTAAAACTCACTGAACCTCAGTTTTCCCCCTGTAGCATAAGAAACATTAATATGTTGAGAGCCAACAGTAAAGTTTAAAGATCTTAACCCTGGTGCTCACTTGAAGGCACGTACAAGGAGCTGGCTTACTTAAAAACACCAGGTGCCCGGGATTGCTTTGCTATGTCTGCAGAGTTTGTTTTACTTTCTACCAGTTGACCTTGTCTTGTTTTTACTGCACTCTGTTTTTACTGAAATTTTCCTTGGTTTTCTGGACTATTGTAACCTTATGTTACCTCTTGACTTCTAATAGTATATCTTAGGGAAAGGTAAAAATAAACGGTGCTACAGTCTTGAGCTGCAGACCTCCCGACCCCATCCTTTGTCTTATGTCTTTATTTTTCCCGTCCTCGTCCCCTAATTCAGGATTCCCTTTTGTTGCCGGCAGGCTCCGGCACTAATAATCATCTTCATCTCTTAATAGGCTCTATTAGTAAATAATGTAGGGGAAAACACTTTGGAAATGAGAAAAAAAAAACTTTATACATGAGGAATCAAGGTAATGGTCCAGGCCCTGTCAGGAACTTTGGCTTTTATGTGTATTGTAAAGGCTTCTATAACCCACATTAATTCCCTAGCTTCCCAAGCCTTTAAATGAAGAAGAGGAGCCCATTTTGGACAATGTGTTCCCTCTTGGAATCACACCACAGATTAGAAGAACTTTTAAAGCATGATGGCTAAATCCAATAGTTTGGAAAGGTAGTGAGGGGAGTAGGAAGAGTGAGAGGACCCTAGGTCTCAGTACTCTTCTTGTAATGTTCTTTCAAATTCCCTAACCTGGCTCTAAGCCTTGTGCATCCTGAGCCCCATATTCACCCCAACCTGGTCCCTGAAAACAGAGAAAAGGCCCTTCAAAGTCCCTATCCAATCCCATCTTTGAGCATCTCATTAGAATCAACTGCTATCTTCTCTTTTTTTCTTCTTCCACCTGTGACCAGTTTAAGACTCCTTGCCTGTCAACTATACAGAAGGCACTATGTCTCTGTATATTTCCATAGTGCCTTGAGCTTAATTTCTGGCCAAATGCTTTACTACAATATAGTGACATTATGTGTCTTCCCCATCAGAATTTGTGCTACTTGGTGCTCTGGGCCACCTGTGTCTAGCTTGGTATAAGTTAGGTGCTTAATAAACATGAGTTGCACTGAATTGACTGGATTTCTTTCACTGAGACCCCACCTTCCCCAAGTCTTGTACCTCTTTTCGAAGGTGAGTGATGATCTTTTGTGGTGCTGAGATGACCTCTCCTTGACTTGTCCGAAGGGCAGGCAGAGTTCCTGACATTGACAAAGAAGTATGTCTACCAGATCCTAGCTTGACTATTCATACATATTTGTGCCACATTCCTTCCTATTTCCTGCTCCTCCCCTTGCACACTCCCTTACCCCACCCATGGACACTGGATACCTGAAGGGCTCCGCCAAGGGTTGGTAATCTTGTGTACCTTGAGTGGAGCACCAGTAAATCTGGTATAGGTCTGCAGAGAAGGAAGCAGAAGGTAGAGAGGCTAAGGCATGGTTCCATAGAGGAAAGATTAAGAGTAATATTTACTGAATATCTTATGTGATATGCCCTGTGCTTTTTTTGTTGCTGTTGTTGGTCATAGGGCTTTTACTCTGGGCTTGGGCGCCGTCCCTCAGCTCTTCAGCTCAAAGCTAGTGCTCTATCACTTAAGCCACAACACCACTTCCAGTTTTCTAGTGGTTTATTGGAGATAAGAGTCTACTGGGCTGTCCGGCCTGGGCTGACTTTGAACCATGATTCTCAGATCTCAGTCTCCAGAGTAGCTAGGATTACAGGCGTGAGCCACCTGCGCCGGGCTTTATGCCCTGTGCTTTGCATAAGAAAAAAAAAATCAGCCAATGCTGCTGGCTTATGCTATAACACTAGCTATTCAGAAGGCTGAGACCTAAAGACCACAGTCTGAAAACAGCCTAGACAAATCCCAGAGACTCTTACTTCCAATTAGCAAATAAAAAGCCAAAAATGGAGCTGGGAAGGTGGCTCAGTGGTAGAGTGCTTGCCTTGCATGAATGAAGCCCTGGGTTAGATTCCTTAGTGCCACATAAGCAGAAAAAGCCAGAAGTGGCACTGTGGTTCAAGGGGTAGAGGGCTAGCCTTAAGCTGAAGAGCTGAGGGACAGCACCCAGGCCCAGAGTTCAGGCCCCACTACTGACAAAAAAAAAAAAAAAAAGGTGTGGCTCATGTGGTAGAGTGAGCTAGCCCAAGTGAAAAGTTAACTCAGATTGCAAAGCCCTGAGTTCAAAGCTCAGTACTGGCACACACGCAAAAACAGTTCCATTGGGTTGGGAATGTGGCTTAGTGGTAGAGTGCTTGCCTAGCATGCATGCAGCCCTGGGTTCAATTCCGCAGCACCACATAAACAGAAAAGACTGGAAATGGTGTTGTGGCTCAGGTGGCAGAGTGCTAGCCCTGAGCAAAAGAAGCTCAGGGACAGTGCCTAGGCCCTGAGTTCAAACCCCAACACTTGCAAAAACAAAACAACAACAAAAAAACCACTTCTATTTTACAAATAGGTAAAACAAGAATGTTGAAGCCACAGTGCAGGTGGCTCACATTCAGGAGGCTGAGATCTGAGGATTGTGGTTCAAAGCCAGCCTGTGCTGTAAAGTCTATGAGACTCATCTCCAATTAAGCACTAAAAGCTGGAAATTGAGCTGTGGCTTACGTGGTGAGGTGCCAGTCTTGAGCACAAAAGCTCAGGGACAGTGCCCAGGCCCTGAGTTCAAGCCCCCCGGTCTGACACCAAAGGGAAAAAAAAAAAAAAGAAAAGAAAAAAAGAAACAGATTATGGATATGTCCCTTACTAGATATCAGCTATGAAAAACCCTCCCCTCCATCTTGTCTCCTATTTATCTACTTGTTGAACACCTATCTTTTGGAAGCTTTTCCTAACCCTCTTCTTGGAAATAATGACCATGTTCTCTTTAGTGACACAACTTGAGTGGAGGGACAAAGTCTTACTCATTTTAGCATGGCAATATTTGGTATTTTGTAAGATGCCCAATACATGCTTTTACAACTAGAGAGAGTGAAGGAACAAAGTGAAACAAATCTGATGTCAGTGCTCTTTCTACAGTCTGGCTGAGGGCCGTTTGCTCCAACAAATAGGCTCAGTAAACGCTGTTTAGTGGGAAGAAGAGTGTGGATCGCTGAGAAACCAGGACTGCCAAGCCTAAAATCCCTGAAACCCCACAGAAGGGATGGCCCCAAGGTCACACAGCCATGGAAAAGCAAGGACTTCGGCCTATCTCCTGGATTCCCGATCAAGCCTACTGTCACTGGTACCTGAACTCTAGGAAACTACGATAGGGTATTCAGCCCACATCGGTCTGGCCACGCTTTTGGATTGCCTCAGTTTTCCCCAAAGAGCCTGTGCTGTGGCGCCAGCAAAGTTCGAACGCTTGACTAGCTCGAGCCCCACCCCAGTCCTCTAGGGCACAGCAAAGAGCGCCTGGGTTACCCTCACCAGAACGGTCAGGCTGTCCAGGTCCACTGACGGCAGCCCCCAGCCCCCAGACCAGCAGAACAGCTCCATGGGCGCCGCCATCTTGTACGCCCTCTGTACCGGAAGCACTTCCTTCTGCGCCAAAGCCTTCATTCGCAAGGACACGCCCCCCTCCACTGCCCCTCTGGCTTGTTGTTGTGGGGGACATGGGGGGACCGCTGTGGAGACGCGACTTTTCTGGGTCGGGGAGGCGTGGCCTCTCTCGGTTGGGGAGGCGCGACTTCTTTCGGATGGAGAGATGTGGCCTCTCTCTGCAGGGTAGACCCGGCTTCTTTCGGCTGAGGAGGCGTGGCTTCTCTCGGCGGGGGCGGTGCGACCTCTCTCGAATGGGGAGGCGCGGCTTCTCTCAGCGTGGGCGGTGCGACTTCTCTCGACCGGGGAGGCGCGGCTTTTCTCGACCGGGAAGGCGTGGCTTCTCTCGGCGGGGGAGGCATGGCTTCTCTCACACGGAGAGGCGTGGCTTCTCTCGATCGGGGAGGCGCGGCTTTTCTCGACCGGGGAGGCGTGGCTTCTCTCGACCGGGGAGGCGTGGCTTCTCTCGACCGGGGAGGCGTGGCTTCCCTCACACGGGGAGGCGTGGCTTCTCTCTGCAGGGAAGGCTTGTCTTCTCTCACATGGAGAGGCGTGGCTTCTCTCTGCGGGGAAGGCCCGGCTTCTCTCCACCGGAGAGGCGTGGCTTCTCCCGACTGAGGGAGTGGGACCTCGCGAGGCGGGGCCGCGGCTTTCGGGGGATAGCGGCCGAAGGCTCAACCAATGGCGGCCTTCGCAGCGGGGGAGGGTAGGCGGCCAGTCTCGCCTGGGAGAGTCACAGCGCCTCGGTCTACAGAAGCCCCGACCCGCTGAAGGCTCGGAGGGTCTAGGAGATGGGGGTCTTATGTTCCTGGTCCGGATCTCTGGACAGTTGTCAAACTGTACGTGGCCTGGCCCTCCCCGAGACCTTTCAGTGCTCGACCCCAATTCGGGGCTACGGGGGGGTCCCCCGGGCCGCATGTTTTCCACAGCGCGTTATGTTTGGAGCGGCCCCGCTCCGCCCGTCGCCATGGAAACAAAACAGGGGCGGTGGCGACGGCCAGAGTGAGGCCGGCTGGGGCCTGGGTGGGGGAAGGGGACGTGGGGCTCGCAGGGTGTTGCCTTAGTAACGGGAACTCGGGCGCCCCTCCGCTGCATCCGGGTCCTAGCCTGTCCGCCACTGCCTACACTTTTTTCCAGTTTACTCCTAGCTCCTGATCTGTCCCCTGGTTTTCTGCTCATGTTTCTGATGTCCTTTTCCTCTTTCTCGGTTTCTTTGCTTCAGCCTCACTGACCAGTTCCCATCCGACACTTCCAGGCTCCTGAGCTTTTCTGGGAATGAAGGAAAATGGAAGAACAGGCACATGTCAGGAACCCTCCCCAAGACCCCTAAGAAAGAGCACTTGGTCCGCTTTGAGGATGTGAGAATCCAACATCCTCCAAGCACCAAAGCAAGCTAGTTTCAGCCACTCCTTTGGCATTCTTTTCTGCCAGCAGTGGAATAATGCCCACTGTCTGGCACTATCCATGCCAGGGGTTCCTGCCTTTGCCAATTGCGGCTTCCAGAAAGCAGTAGCATTTATTTGTAGTGCTGTATGATGAGGCCCCCAACAACAGGATGACTGGAGAGAAGGGAGGCACCTGGGAGAAAGGACCATTAGGGAGAAGCAGGAGGCCCCCAAGACTCTTCCCCAGTGCTCCTGGTTCCCACAGCTGGTGATGCCTCTAGGGTGATTGGCAGCTCTTTGTTTCAGCCCCCCCTCCCCCCCCCCCCCCCCCCCCCCCGCCTGCTACCCCTCCTTCATCTCCCCCCTCTGTCCCTCCGCCCCCCTGCTCCTGCTCTCCGCCTAGCCTTTTCCCCTCCCAGCAGCCTGCTTGCCAGGGGTAGTGAGCCGGCTGAGCGGCATGGAGGCGCTGGAACTTCGGGGGGCCCTGGCTCTTCTCCTCCTTTGCTCTTTTGCATCTGCCAGTCAGGACCTGCAGGGTAAGCCTGACTCTATCCTCTTTAACCCCTAGACCAGGTAGCAGGAAACACATGGGACAGGAGAGAGAGTTAGAGTCTTGAAATTGAGCTGGAGAAAACAGTTATACTACTTAGAGTTAGTGAAATTATGGCCTGGTGGGAGGAGTGGGAGCCAGAGAGGTGGACATGTGTGAACTGGTCAAAATCAAACATGAAGTCAGGGTAGAGGACTCAGGACCTGGATGCTAGGACTGCCTGGTTGGGTTTGTGTCAGAGCCTCCACAGTCTAGGAGGGCAGCTTGAAGGTGGGTGCATCATGGATCCTGGACTTTGTCCCCCCTTTTCCCCTGGCTCCTGGCTGCCAAAAGACAGTTTGGGGGTGGAGAGTGAAAGTACTGGCCTCTCCCGGAGGTCTGGTGGTAGGATAGGCCCATGGGTGTGGGAGAGGTAGCTGGAGCAGATGACACAGGCAAAGATTCTTTACTGGCTAGCAGGGAAACCACAGATTGGCTGGGACACAGCAAGCAGAGAAGCTGGGTCCTACATTCCCGGAGGGAAAAGCCAGATGGTGGGAGGGTCAGAGACCTCAGTGGGCAGCCGGTCTTATTCAAATAAGCCCCCAGGATAGAAGGAGGGGCACTGTGGTGGGGAATGAGCCAAACCCAGCAGTGAAACCAGTTCTGTGCTGTGGGCACCAGGTGCCACTCCTGGGTCTGATCAATCAGGACAGTGTCTCCCTTGCGCCATCTGGTGGGGACATCTCAAATTCATGGGGTAATTTTGTAATTTTTCTGTATTTCTGGAGCCTCTGGCCTGCAAAGTTGTGGAGATAGTACATAATGAGAGAAAGGAATAACCACTATAAACCAGTACATTTCAACTCTGATAACAAAAAGAATTGAATTTTGCCTGATGGTGAGAGAGGACTAGAGTAGGGGTGGGGGTCCAGATTAGGGATGCTCCACCCTTAAGAGCTCTTGGGAGAGGGCAGGTCATAGCACTGATTCTCTTTTCTGTTCTTGATAACCCATGCCTGGCCAGTCATTGACCTGCTGACTGTGGGCGAGTCCCGGCAGATGGTAGCTGTGGCCGAGAAGATCCGGACAGCATTACTTACTGCTGGGGACATCTACCTCTTGTCTACCTTCCGCCTGCCCCCCAAGCAAGGTGGTGTCCTCTTTGGCCTCTATTCTCGCCAAGACAACACTCGATGGCTGGAGGCCTCTGTTGTGGGCAAGATTAACAAAGGTGACTGGTGGGCACCTCCTTTCATGCACTGGTGGTCCCCTTAAGCATTGACCCTCATCCCCAACTCCCAAGTGCCTTCTAATTTTCCTTAAGTTCCATTAAGGACCATGGTCTGATCAGGTTTTTCCAGGCACAAGGGGGCACCTGGTATAGGGTATTTAGGAGGTAGGGATGGGAGGTTGTACTTGAGGATGCTCAGAGGGGGAGGTGAGACATCTCTGTCCCAGCAGTGATACTGTCGCATTACTGGGACAGTTCAATGGGCAGTTTAGGAAAGGATAGGGTGATCTGGTGCACCAAAGACTTAAAATCATAGTCACTAAACCAAATTGGAAAACATTTATACTGACTATGTACAAGGTTGAGAAATACGGAGTCAAATTAGGGGTGGTATTCCTAGAGATAGGTTTCTGAAAGAGTTGATCCAGGGCTTAACTGGGACCATGGGGGATGGGAGATAGGGCCCATACTGACCTCCGCTCCTGGGCAGTACTGGTGCGGTACCAGCGGGAGGATGGCAAGGTCCATGCAGTGAACCTACAGCAAGCAGGCCTGGCTGATGGGCGCACACACACGGCTCTCCTGCGGCTTCGAGGACCATCCCGACCCAGCCCTGGTTTGCAACTCTATGTGGACTGCAAACTGGGTGACCAATATGCAGGCCTTCCAGCACTGGCCCCCATTCCTCCAGCAGAGGTCAGTGGGCTGGAGATTAGGACAGGACAGAAGGCTTATCTGAGGATGCAGGTGAGCAGGGGGAGGGTCCTCTAAGTGTTGTTGAAACAGTTGTTACCAGTCTTGGGGAAGCACTGGTAGATCCTCCCACCTTACTTGCTGTGGGCTTCACTTACTTCCACAGGGCTTTGTGGAATCGATGAAAATTATTCTGGGCGGGTCAATGGCTCGGGTAGGAGCCCTGAGTGAGTGCCCATTCCAAGGTGATGAGTCAATCCACAGTGCAGGTAACACAGTAATTCCTGTGAGATGACAGAGACCATTGTGATCTTTGGTGACTCCTATTCCTTTTGATCTTAAAACTCCTTAACGCCTACTTTTCTGGCTTGCCCATTCCTAGGGCTTCTGACTTGTTGTACCAAATCTTTCACCCCTGACTCTAAGCATTGTGAGTCAAAAATCTCCCAATTCAGGTCACCCAATTTACTAGAGTAGGTAGAAAAAAAATTAAGATAAATTGAGACGATTATAACTGTTGAGGACATTTCAGGGACAAGGGTCTTGCCTGAGGTGCTAGTTTCACATCTTTTATAGCTTCCCTTGGCTGCTGTCTGCCTGGTGTGTGTGTGTGTGTGTGTGTGTGTGTGTGTGTGTGTGTGTGTGTGTGCGTGCCAGTACGGGGTCTTGAACTCAGGACCTTGGCATTGCTTCTTAGCTTTTTCCACTCCATTTGAGCTATACCTATAGCTTTATACCATTTGAGCTGTATCTCCACTTCTGGCTTTTTGGTAGTTAGTGGGAGATAAGAATCTCAAAGCCCAGGCTGGCTTTGAATTGTGATCCTCAGATCTCGTCCTCCTCAGTAGCTAGGATTACAGGTGTAAACCACTGGCGCAGAGCCTGCCTGTCTGATCTTTCTGATAGGGAAGCTTGGAGGCTCTAACCTGAGTAAACATTCATATCTCCCAGATATTTCAGAGAAGTGCTCTCATCATAGAAGCTTAGGAGTCGGGGAGGAAATGGAATACTGTGGCCCTGGCCCTGCTTTGGGTACTTTTATTTGGTCTCCTGTGACTACTGTGCCTGTGAACAAGAATTTGGGGCTTAACTTCCTATGATATAAAGAGCTGGTGCTAGTTGGTGATGTGGCCAGTGGTAAAGTACTTGCTTAGCTGTTTGAGGCCCTGGGTTCCAACCTTAACATCTTCAAAGAATAAAAATGCTAAAACTGGCCTTGTTTGCCTGTCACTTTTGCTTTCCTATTTTGCAATACTTTATTGATATTCTGGCTCTGCCCCTCTCT